TTTTTTTCTTTCTTTCTGTAATTCAACGGCACGTTGTCAGTTATTCCTTCCTTGTAGGCTATTATTATTATTATTATTATTATTATTATTATGCAAAGATGAAGTAGACGATGCTGATTAGCCATCTCCGCACTGCAGTAACCTACGAGAGAAATGCACCTTTCATATAGTGCTACAGCATTGCAAACGCTGCAACCTGTTCATTATCAGAATAAAATACAGTCAACCAAACATATAGATACACTATAGAATCTAGATACTCTGGTTAATTAAAACAGCCCTTAGTTCAATCCGTTCCGTTCAGCCTGAGCTCGGGCCAAGCACATATTTGCTCATGTGAAGAGGATGATTTTTCATGTGAAGAAGACCATGTTTTTTATTTATTAAATTTTTTTTGGGAAAGCTGGTTAAGTACAAAGCCTGGTTTACATAGTAATAATAATAGCCTGTAGCATTCAAATTCAAATAGCCAACATCGAGAATATGGAAACATTTGGATTCGTGCCAAATGAGAGAGTAAGAAAGAGGATTATAGGGCCAAAAAATAAAAAAAAAAAAAAACATCTCCAGAATAAAGTCATTAGCCTATAGGCTAATGCCAGATTAAACTCATTAAATATCCAGAAAAAACGTAGAAATAAAATATTGAGAATAAAAATAATTACATTTCGAGAATAAAGTCGTTCATCAGCATCTTCAACTTCATCTTTGCAGCCGACACGCGTTTACATGCACGTTCTTAAACCGATTATGCTTAATAAGCTGAAAACGCACGTGGTCATGTAAACGCGGTAACCCGTTTCTTTTACCGGAGTAAGGTCATAAACGGTGTAAGCATAAACCGGTCGACAGAGGTAGTTTTTTGCCTCTTACCCCGATTTCGCGCGGCATGTAAACGCAATAACCCGCTTTCTGTCGGTTTATTGAAGTGCGCATGTGATAAGTGACAGGAACGCATCGTTAGTGCAGATTTAAGCGCATCTAGACAGAGCAAACGTTTTGCATTAAATAAAGAAGGAAATATATCACAAAAGCAGACTTTTTCATGCCTCAGAAAATTATAAAAGTGTTCTCATCTCGTGCAGCAGAAGTAGAAGTGGTTCAGTCAAAACGCTGCATTATAACTGCATGAGAGGATAATATGAGCTGTAAGTTTCACGCTGACATGTTGCAAGCTTTATTTAACATCACAACTGACAAATCATATAGAATACTCGGAGTCAGATAAGCAAAATATTATATTTTGACGTCACTAAAGGGAAATAACCTGATATATTAATAAAGTCATGTAAACGCAGCTTACTTGCGTTGTCAGGTTACCGATGTGCATGTAAACGGGGAAACCTGGTTATTTTAATAAGCTGATATTTGTGAGTTATCAGCTTACTGGTATGCATGTAAACGTGCTCACTGTCTCAGAAAACAGTTTAGTAATAAGTAGCCTATATAAAATATGTTCTAGCTATTTATGCTAAATGCATAAATTATTATTATTATTAATTATTATTATTAATTATGCGATCCGCTTGAGCGCGGAATAGGCTATAGCCCAGGGGCGTAGCCATCATTTCAGAAGTGAGGGGGACAGAAATGTTATATATATATAAAAAAATTTAATAAAAAAAATTATATATATATAATTTTAATCGCTACATTACATGCACAAATTATGATACTTTAATACAAACTATAACATTTGTATTCACAAATATGTCTCTATTTGAACAAAATGCTGCACATTAATGTAATTCTTAACTCTGCAGACACCAGTTGAAAAGCATTTGTTTCAGTGTAGTGAAGCACATTTGCGAATTTTCAAATCTTGTACACGTTAATGAATTGCACTGGGCCTTGTTCGTTGGTAGTTGTGTGTGTGTGTGGGGGGGGGAGGGGGCATACAGTTTATGCTGTAAACTCCGTAAATAAAGTTTCAAAATCCAAACGAACCGAAGATCGACTCGAACTAGACGTCAATTAATGCACGCGTGTCACCTGATCCACTTATGCATTGATTCCTTTTTGCATGAGCAACAGGCTATATGATATATTAATGCAGAACAGAACATTTTATTCGCAAACATATCTGTATTTTGTACAAATCGCTGCACAATCATTTAATCCTGAATTCCACAGACTCAATTTGAAAGGCATTCGTTTGTGGTTAGTAAGATACATGTATAAAATTTGTGCAGTAAATGGATAATTGTGCGTGCATCTATTAATCATTTTGAGTCTAATTTCATCCCATAGATTCGTATATTCGCAAGATGAGCAAAAACGGGGGCGGAGAAAATGTGAGACGTAAAAAAGGGCGAGGTCTTACAGGCGGAACAGGAAGCGCAATCACATGAGCACGGGAGGGGAGGTTGAAGGCGATGTTTATTTCCCTAACATGGAAACACGATGATCTTATTTCACTATAATTTCGCGATCTAATGTTGCATTTTAATATGGAGAAAGACAATATTTGCTGTGTTTACAATAATCGTCAGTGATCACTTTTCCCCTTCACCTCTCCTAGGTTTTGCTTGCGAGGGCTCTTGACTTGCTCAGCCTGAACTTCCCGTTGCAAAAGTAGTGATGGGAAGTCCGATTCATTTAAGAGAATCGGTTCTTTCGAACAGATCCCCTCAAAGAACCGATTCAACTATTTTTGTACGTCACTTCTCTAATAGGTCATCACGTGGTCCCTAACACCCAGGCTTTAAAACTTAACAATATATTTTTATCTTTTAAAAAGTATTTTCTCTTCATAAAATTAAAAAAATAAATATTTACTTTGATTTTTTTTATTTTCCTCTCTGTTCAACAGAGTTATACAGTATTTGCAAGTGATGCAAGTGATTATTGTAATGTTTATTGATTATATTACTGTTAATTAAAAAAGGAATAAAACAGTCCAAGTCATATGTTTAGTCATGGGTTTATTGTGTTTATGTTTTGATTGTGTTTATTGTAATTTCGTGTGTTTAGTGTGATTATTTTAGCAATGATTCCGCTCATATAAATCATTTCGATCTTAAATATAATCAACACGTTCATTAACCCATACTAAATTTATTTTACATCTCAAATTTCAGTCCGACCAGTTTTGTGAACCAGTTCAACTGATTCATTTAAAAGATCCGGCTCAAATGAACGAATCTGACATCGCTCTGCAGAAGCGCACAGATAGAGAAAGAGAGAGCTGCAGGAAAAGGGAACATCACGCACGGGGTGTCGTTGTGAATGCAGTTGTTCCTCCACGTCCAGACACCCATCAAAACTTATTTTTACACGTTAATTTTAACCGGATCCGCCGCACTAACTTAACGAGCGTATACAATACAGCGTGAAACGGTGGTTTCCAGCACGGGGGATTTAATGGGAGTCTTGTATCGATAAAGCGCTTCTCCCCCCCTTGACGGACCCTCGCTCGAACCGAACCGGACTCGGGCGCTGTCCTCACCGGGGGGTATCCGATCCCAGTTATATTTTGACTGCGAAAAAAACACTCCAGAGTCCGAATATGGCAGGAAATCTGAAGAAAGGTGGGGGGCTTATTGGCATGATGAAGGACGCTTTTCAGCCTCACCATCATCTCCACCACTCCCATCACCAGCCCGGGGCCGTGG